GTCTCCTTTAGTTCGCGTGCGGATATAGGCAACGATAGTTTCCTTAGTATTCTCTAGCGTATCTCTAGTATACTAATCCTAGTTAGCTTAAAGTTTGTCGTGCAAGCCGTCTCTCTACTACTTAAAGGTAACACTCTTGCCATCTAATAACAAGGGTGGATCTAGAAACTTAGCAGAGCGCGTTAGTCGGCTCTCCCGCGCTTGCGACGCTAGAGGTGTAGCTGGCTAGTATGCAGAGGGGCGAGGACCTAGGATTAAATCCTCTAGCGGCAACGCGCTTAAATTGCGTATAATTAGTATTGTAGGGAAACGCGTCGCGCGTTAAACTAGCACAGCAGGCTAGTCCCTTAAGTAGGTTAATCGCGCTCGCAGTTACTAGATTTTAGCGTCCTTTTTAGCCAGGATAGTAGCCTGTGCTAGGTTTTTCGCGTATACGTTATCTCCCTTAGCAAGAGCGTTGGCGGCGATCTGGCGATACATGTAGATTTGTTGTTTATGTACCCGTCGTATATACAATTAGCTAACTATTTCGTCGACGATTTTGGCTGGCGTTTCTAGGAAGAGCTCTTAAAGCTCCTTGGCGGAGGTAGGGAGTGTAAACGAACCTAAGGCCGACGATAGCTCTGGTATTACCAAGCTCTAGCGGAGCCTTGCAAGCTTCTAGTCGAAGTCGTTGTCCTAATTCTCGTCGGTTATCGTGTCGTGTTGCCGAACGGGGTTTTCGCGATAGAAATATTAATTGGTATATCCTGCGGGCAGGTTCGCTGCCCTGAATTCAAGGACCGTCGGGGTGAAGGGGTATTGTAGAGCTGAGGTCCTGCCTCTAGATCGGCTTCGCGAGGGTTCTCCCATAGTGTTTAGATTTGTTTAGCTTTTCGATCGAGAAAGAAGCGAAGGGGGGAGGTATTTAGCTGCTGGCGGAGCAGCGGGTTGTTGGTTCTACTAGCGGGGCAGAGAGATGGTTAGCTCTGCTGGCAGAGCAGAGGATTGTCGATTTTTCGTAATTTGTAAAAAGGGGGGGGGTTTCCGCACGTAGGAGTTCCGTAGAAGTCCTCCCGTACATAGAGCTCTTGATAGCTCTCTTCGGCTTGGTGCTAGTATCTTTCTGCCGCTAACTAGATCCGCTAGTGGTCTTATGCAGCGCTAAGGGGTGAGCGATTAATCGGTACGTTAATAGATTCTTGGGGTGAGCGACTAGGCTCTCGTAGCTCTAATCCTTGGTGTTGGCCGTTAGTAAACGCTTCTTAATAAGGCTACTTAGTTTGGCTAGATATTGTGCCGCCGTCTCCGGCCAAAGGGGTATTAACCTTTAGATAATGTGAGGGCTGGGTCCGCGGTCTCCACTGCTGTGAGCGCCCCTAGAACACCTAGCTAGGTAAGTTAGCTGCAGGCAGCACTGTCTCCACGAGCTGTAAGAATAAGGGGTGCTAGCAGGGTAGATTGGGTCAAATTCAGCTATCCAAAGGTAAGGAGTAGAAGGCTGCTCCGAGAGGCTCTATATACAGAGGTGCCGAGCGCCAAGGCGCTAGGCTAGGTCACGTGGTAAGATTACGTAACCCGAGGTCATGTAACCTAAGGTAAATCCTAAACTAGACCGTTACAATAAAGATATAATAGTACTTACTAGAAGAAAACTAGATTTTTCTAAAAGTTAGTTAAATATATATAGCTTTTTAATAACGTAATATATTCTAGTATAACTTTAATATAAGGTATAATATACTATAAATAATATATATTTAAAGTTTTATAGAAAATTATTAAGGTTTCGCTTACTTATTTAAGAAAAACGAGTTAATTTTCGTTAATTTTCGTTACTAAGAAATCGTAAGTTATTTAATAGAGTAACTAGTTTAATAGTAAAGTATGTTATATTTTATATAGCTTTTTATATATTAATTATAGATAATAATATTAGAGTAGAATTTAGAAGTACTAGCTTAGTTCTATTTAATCTAGATTTAGTAGTATTAAAGCTTAAAGTTTAATTATATACGCTAATACTCTCTACTAATAATACTACTATCTATAAGTATAAAATATCTAGTAATTCTACTAAATTAAAGTTATAATTAACTCTAATTTAGAGAAAGATTATATAGTATCTTAATTTATTACTAACTTATATTATTAAGTTACTTAATTAGCTTAAGAAAGATAATAAGCTAATAGTGTATTAACTAGTACTTATAGAGTCTAAAGTTACCTAGCTTTAAGTAGCTAATATATAGAAAAAGAAGTATAATTTATATAAAAGAAAGTAAATTTAGAAAGAAAATACTTTTATAATTAAAGCTAGCTTATAGCTAGTTACTTAAAAAGAGACTATAGATTAGAATAAGAGTAAGAAGTAGCGCGAAAAGATAGTAGTACGTAATAGCTAGCTAGCTTAGTAACGCTATAGATACTATAGTAAGCTAGAGTATAATATATAAACGTACTAGATAATGTACTTTACAAGCGAGCTAGTTACACAAGCGAGCTAGTTACCTTCTCTTGGCAACGAAAATCAACGAAAATTAACCCGTTTTTCTTAAATAACTAAGCAAAACCTTAATATTTTTCTATAAAAATTTATATATATATTCTCTATAGTATATTACACCTTATAGTAAAGTTGCACTAAGATATATTATATAATTAAAAAGCTATACGTATTTAACTAACTTTTAAGAAAAAATCTAGTTTACTTCTAGTAAGTACTATTATATCTCTATAATAATATATAGAACTTATAGTATATAGTATTTATAACGTAATAAAGGTTTCTAGAAAACTTCTATAGGGCTAGCTCTTCTAGGTATAGCGTAATAAGAGATAGAAGTTTAAAAATTTTAGAGTTTTCTCTTCTAACTATATATATATTAGTTAATCTAGCTATATAAACTTGTAATTTTATAAATTATAGTATACTTAAACTATA